CTTTGATATCATGTTCGAATATCATCCCTATTCATCTCATCCATTACAACTCATATACTCATGTTTATTTTAACTTTGTCAAATTATCCCTTAGTCATGTTAACTTGTTAGCTATCTCTTCCTCTTGCTTCTCTTTTGTTGCCTAAATCCAAAGGAAATACTTCCCTTGTTGACTTTATGTCATAAGTAGTTTAGCATTTTCTCAACTACCCCTTTTGACTTTGTTAAGCCATTAACCTTTCAACGTAGCCTTAGGTTAGAATTTGTAAATTCTTTGAATTTTTTAAGTCATGCAAGTTTTATTGTTATAAACACTTACTTTCCCCTTTTGGACCTTTATCACTATCAAGTGTTCTCCTCCCTTAGTTAGGTGAAATATGATTGCTATGATTCCATCCTTGTTAGGATACATAGGCATAAGACTGTGAAGTCTTGGCGAGCAAACTAGCAATAAACCTCCTTAGGTTCCTGTAGCATCGGTTTTTGTGACGCGACCACTACCGCTTTTGGTGCTACTTTCTGATTTCTATATTTATCCTATGAAGCTTAAAAGGAAGGGGAAGATATCTTAAACTAAACCTGTGCACAAGTGTTTTCCCTACAGATGCGAAGAGATCTGTAATCGGGGGTTGGTTATACAAAGGGAAGCTATTAGCACCTATAGTATTTATAGTAATCTATAGGAACCTGTATTTGCATCTATTTTTACTATTTGAATTGCTTTCTTGAGTCTATTTGCTGTCAGGTGAGGAAAGTTTCTCCTTTGAGGAAATGTTTTTGTTGTTTTAGGGGTTTCTATTATTTTTGGAAAGGTATATGGACCTAAGATTTTTTATTAGTGCGCTCACTAAGATTTCGCAATCTTATGCCTACGTATTCCCATAAAGAGATTTGGGGAAAATCAGAGCGTTCGTAGTTCCTCCTATTCTATGGGAGGAAAACACTGTTTGGTGTCTTGTTCAAAGCTCAAGATTGAAGCTAAAAAAGTATTTGTGTCTTGTTCAAAGCCCAAGATTGAAGCTAAAATAGTATTTGTGTCTTGTTTAAAGCCCAAGATTGAAGCTAAAAGAGTTTGGTCTTGTTCAAAGCCCAAGATTGAAGCTAAAAGAGTTTGTATCTTGTTCAAAGCCCAAGATTGAAGCTAAAAGAGTTTTTGAGAGAGAATTTGTCATCTATAAAAGGAGATATCTCACCTATTCATCACAATCATTGAGGGATTGATTATAAGGGAAGTTGCTTTAACTGAGATGTGTGGAATTTAACAATGTCACATCTTCCTTTATAAGAGAGTTGAAATGTCATGAAGGAAGAAGCTTTAACTCAGTGTAGAGCAATGCCAGTTTTTCCTTTATAAATCTTTGCATGCTAAGAGAGGTACATTGGCTTGGATATGTTGAATCCATAGGATTTCCACTTACATCACTTAGATGAAAGAGAACTTTGGCCATGATAAGGGAGGGACTCCAGCTTGGATTTTGAATCAACAAGTGTGCCACTTGCATCAATTATCTAGAAAAACGTTTAATTGTTTTTTTTAAATGTGATGTATAGAGGAAATATCCTTCTACATAGAGGACTCAGAGTCTCATCCTTGGGGATTTTGAATTTCGTGCCTTGATCAAAGCCCAAGGTTGAAGCTAAAAAAGGGATTAAAAACTGACTTAACTGGGGGAGTATTATATATGTCTTGTACAAGGCCCAAGATTGAGGCTGACTGGGGAAAATCCTTATATGAAGCCTAAGAGGAGGCTAGGGGAACTTAAGTGGAGACTCACTCTTGCTGAGGAAAATTAAATTCAAGAGCAGGTTCCAACTACTTTGAGGAATCAAAAGAGAAATTGACTTTTGCTGGTGATTTAGAGGAGAGTTGGATTTATTGAACTGCCATAAAGACTTTGATTCTTTTGGGGATTTGTTGGGTGTAATCTGACCCTTGCTGGAGATTTTAAGGTGGAAATAAAGCCTTGTTGAGCATCATAGGAGACTCAAAGGATGATTTTGAATGTCTTAGAGGTTTTGACTCTTCTGGGGATTGGTGTAGGGATAGGGATGACTAGGGTCTATACTGTGTTTTAAAATGAGTTTTCAAAAAAAATCTAAGCATCCCTGAGGTGGTTTTTTTGACAAAAACAAACTTCACACATTTCATTCAATACGTAATGTTCAATACAATGAGGAATCAAATTAATAACATTACTCATAACTCAAGAATCGGCCGCCTTCGATAAGGAGTGGACAACCATATTTGTTTGACGCTTAACAAACTTTACCTCAAAGTTAGGATAAATTTGAAACAAATTTTGGATATAACGAATAATTAAACTAAACTCAGAAATACCACTATTATTTGACAGAATAGCTTGGATCACGCATTGGGAATCACTTTCAAAGATAACATTATCCATATGCATTTTAATAGCTCATTGTATTGTCTTTTTGAGGGCCATGGCTTCCGATTCTATAATGGGTTGGTTACCCAAATCCCAAGCAACACATGCATAGACAAATCTACTTAAGTGATCTCTCTCACACACCAACCCCTATTCGTAGTACCACAATTGATGTTAAAACCAGCGCCAACATTGCACTTTAACTTTTCTACATTAGGTGGGCACCGATAAGTTAAATGATGCTGGATAATATCACTAACATGACTCTCTTACGCAGAAAACCAATCTTTCCAATTCTAAAAAGCAAGCATACCAAGTCTAGATCCTTCCTCTCGATCATTATTCCAAACCAAATTATTTATGTTCTTCCAAATCACAATTAACATAACTGCAACTCTACTCGCAGTCCTTCTATCCTCATATCTACAGATATCAAGAATCAAGGATTTGACATTATTAAAGGAATGTAAACGGGGATCAATAATATTAGACAAACCTACTGTCCGCCAACAATGGTTGGTGGCATCACATTCAAAGAAGACATGTCAATCATCTAATACCCCAAATAACCAACATTTTTAAATAAATACCCAAACTGACCTATTTTCCCACTTATTTTCAAACTAATCCATTTTCAAACAAAAAGAAATTCAACACAAATGAGACATCAATCCAATTGACGACAATGTACAACTAGGCATGACAACGGGGCAGAGCGGGTTTTAACAGACCCATACCCGCCCCGCTTCCCTGACCCAGATCCTCCCCCGTCCAAACCAGGTCATGGCTAAGAATTGGTCCCCCGTTCCCGCCTCCATTAAAGAACGTGTTTCCCTACAACCGAGTCACCCCGCCCCCACCCGCATATATTATATATATTTTTTAAAAATTATATTTTTTCAATAACAATAAAAATTAATAACTTAACTAAATAATTAATTATTTTAAAAATAATCATAATACTTGATCATTTTTATTTTTAAAAAAATTGATAATTTTAATTAATAAGATATTGTAAGATTAAGAAGTGTAAATAAGTAATAACATTATTAAAAATAAAAAAAAATAAATTAAATTTAATATGTGGGGACAGGACGGGGGCACGCCCCCACATCCGTAAATAAAAATCATGTTTCTTCTAATACCCGCATTCGTGCTCAATTAAATTAAATTTTTTCCGTTAATTTTAGAGAAAAAATGAAGAGAGTTGAATAAAGATGAATTTATTTATTACGCCTATATACAACATATAAGAGAAAACGTCAATTTAATATACAACCTCGCAGAAAAAAATTATTTTATACTAACATTTGCTATTTTCAACCGGAACATTGTTAGTAAAAGAAAAAGATTAAGCGTGATTGTAGGAAAGATTTCAACCATTAATTAAAATTGGATTATAGGTATATAAAAAATCCAAAATTACTGAAATTGGATATGAATTGTTTGATTTCATATGAACTGATAATTATTCCTGTGAGAATCTAGAAGAGTGCATATTTTGAATTTTGAATTCTATTCATATGGAGACAATTTTTTTGACTGATATGTATACACTTTTTTGTTTTGACAATGATAGCTATATACTTATCCGTTATTAATCCATATATTAAATATTAATTAGCAAAGAAAGTTTCTAACTTTTATTAAGGAAGGTGACCGATCACTTAAAATATAAATTAATAAATAATTACAGTAGAAAATAAATTAAACCTTTTATTTTGTGTTATTATCATCGCATTAAATATCATTAATTCCAATAATTTTGATCCGTAAATCTTACTTCAATCTAATTTTTTTTCCAATAAATACTGTATGTTTTAAAAACTTTTTTAATAAAACACTTTTCCGAAAACAAAGAAAAGAACAAAAAATAGAAATAAATGTGATTTATTTTATTTTGTCTCTTCTTATGCTCGTTTAATCCATTCTTCTAGCATAGACCCTAACGCATGTGCTAATAAATCGCTCTAATAATAGTTACGTATTCTCCTTAATTATTGTTCTCATTAATCACCAAAATTTAACCACGTAACGTTATCATCCCAATTCCAACTTTACTCTTTATTAATAATAATTGTTATATTAAATCTTATACTCTTCATTTATAAATTTGTTAATTTTTCCCAGTAATTTATACTTATTGAATTACATTAATGGTATACATATTCATATTTATTACTCCGAAATATTCATACTTTTAAAATAATAAATAAATATTATTTATTAAATAATCTTATTACTACACTAATATATAGTGAAGTAGTATATGATTTAAAATCTAAAATAAAAATACTACCATATGAATTACTAGTATATTTCTATTCCAAATCCCAACCTTTTAAGGAGAAAAAACCCAATCGTGCGCTGAAATAGAGGATCATCTTTTTTGGCGACCTATTTTTATTTTTTTATTTTTATAATATAATTTCTTTCCATTTTTATAATTAGATCCATTAACTGTCAAATTACAAGTATACCCACAGGAATTGTTCCTCATCTCATTTATTTCTCTCTTCCATGAAAATTCATCTAAATCAAAATCGTCACTAATCCACAAAACTCACAAACTCTCAGTACATTCACAAAAACTTCAGATCTCTGAATACAATGAGAGATCTAGTTTCATGTTTCAGTGAAAACTCAATAAACATTTCAAATCCTTCATGTTCCAGCTACTCAAACAACACATGCATCACACCAAACCCTCTTTCACCTTCCATCCAAACCTCAATTTCTTCTATTTACAAATTAGTCCTCTCCACATTGAAACAAATCGTAATCACTGTAACATGGTGCAAAAACCATTCGAACCAAGGACTCACCATAGCCTTCAACAACGAAGATCCAATTCTTCCACCTTTCAGACTCAACACAAACTCACGCTTTTTCCGTAAGAAAAAAGGCAGCAAACTCCTCGATTTCGAAGATTCGAAGGTAACCGTCCTATGGGATCTTTCAACTGCAAAATACGAAACCGGCCCGGAGCCGGTGGAAGGCTATTACGTCGTCGTTGTAATCGATTCAGAAATCGGTTTAATTCTAGGAGATTCAGAGACAGTTACAAAGAGAATGAAAGAGAATGTTTCAATGGCGAAGATAACGCTGTTATCGCGGAGAGAGAATTGTTCCGGGTGTTCTGGTAACACGATGTATTCGACGAAAGCTCAATTCTGCGACGGTGGAAGTTTTCATGAGGTGATGATAAAATGCAGCACGGAGAATGAAGGTTCGTTTAACGGTAAATCATCATCGTCGTCGCCGGTGTTGAGTGTGAACATTGATAAGAAGAATGTGATTCGTGTGAAGAGGTTGCAGTGGAATTTTAGAGGAAATCAAACTATTTTTGTGGATGGATTGTTGGTGGATTTGCTTTGGGATGTTCATGATTGGTTCTTCAATTCAGTTTCTGGTTGTGCAGTTTTCATGTTCAGAACAAGAAGTGGTTTGGATAGTAGATTGTGGTTGGAAGAGAAGAATTCTCAGAAAGATAAAGATAGAATTGAATTCTCATTCTTCATCTATGCATGTAAGAGTTCATAAGAATTTTACCTAGTTCTTTTTTTATTTTTTTTATTTCTTATACTTTAGTAAAATTGAACTTTTTATCTTTCTTTTCATTTTGAAATTGAAAAGATATAATACTGATTTTAATTTTAATTTTAATTTTATTTTATAATTTAGTGTTGTCAAATATTGGGTTTGTGCCAAACGTGATGGGTCAAGAATTTGATTTTGTTGAAATTAAGGGTAAATTAACTTCATCTAATGACAGTTTTTCTCCTCAAGTAGAAGCCGTCTGAAACTAAATCTCTTGTAATGTGTGTGAGTATTGCATTTTTACCAAACACTAACATGATTGGTCAACATTTTGAATTTGTAAAAACTTTTAGAATTAGATTATGTTATTTATTATTTTACTATTTTTGTAGGGTTCTATATAGATGATATTATGTCCTCACAAAAACTGTATGTCACAGACAGTAAGAGTTAAAATAGAGAAAAATACAAAGATTGGAAATTTGATAATAATAGACTTAACTAAGATCTCATAAACAATAAAAAAAATTAACATATGTAATGCATGTTTCTTTTCAAGAAAAGACAAAGCAGATTTTTAACTTGGCTAATCCATTAGAATGCTTTGAGACACCTACAAGAAAGTAGTAACTTTAGAAAGAAAAAAAATCAAATTGAAACTTGAAATATAATCAAAACCATACTACATCTACATAAAATTTAAGCATGATATAACTTTAGAAGGAAAATAGATTGAATCACTTTGGTGTAAAATATATATTTTCAAGCAAACAAGCATCTAAATTTAAAATAATTGGCTTGTCTTTAATGGCATGGTGAAACATTTGATTGTTGTCTATGATAGTCTATTCATGTCCTTAGGTACCTTGACATGTGTTTATGACTCCATGGCCCCTCCATTTTTCAACTTCACTCATACAATACAAATTATTATTACTAGCTACTTTGTGGGTGCATGTGCTTACATACATATCCTAAAATAAATAGTCTTTTCACAATTAATGATTGTTCTTAGAAAAACTCAGACATTTATGCTTTGGACTTTACCCCACGTTTACCTTATGGGCTTCCCTAATTAAAACATAGAGCCCATTAAAAGATTTGGACCTTTTTAATTATAATTTTTTTAAACGTCCATTACTTTATCCACCCCATATCATTCCATAGAGTGAAAGTGAACACATTGAAAATTCAAATTTACACTTTTTATATTTTTAAAATGCATTTTTGAATGCACTTTAAATTAGGGGTGTCAAAATGAATGGATTGGATGGATATGGATTGGATTATTAATGGATGGATTAAAACAATTCATTAGTCCATTAACAATCCACTAAAATTTTCTTAAAATTATTCAATCCAATCCATCCATTAAGAATAAAATCTATCCAATCCATCCAACTTTTTTTTTATTTCGTAAAAATAAATATATTTTTTTATTTTTAAAAAATTGATTTTATTTTATTTTTGAAAAATTCATTTTTTGTATTTTCAAAAAAAATTGATATTTTAATTTTTGAAAAATATCGATTTTTTTTCCAAAAAAAAAGTCGGTTTTTTTTTCGAAAAACAAATCAGTTTTTTATTCTGAAAAAAAAACCAATTTTGTTTCCAAAAAAAAGTCGGTTTTTTATTCTGAAAAAAAAACCATTTTTTTTCGAGAAAAAATTTTATTTTTTTTCGAAAAACAAATCAGTTTTTTATTCTGAAAAAAAAAAAACCGATTTTTTTCGGAAAAAAAATCGATTTTTTTTCAAAAAAAAAGTCGGTTTTTTTTGAAAAAAAAAACCGAATTTTTTTTCAAAAAAAATCAAACTTTTTTTTTCAGAAAAAAAATATAGTTTTTTAATTATTTTTAAAAAAATAAATCTAACGAAAATAAAAATAATCTATTGGACCCTTAAAATATGTTGGATGGATTGAATTCATTCATGCATATAAATGGATGGATTTAATCCAATCCATTAACTTATTTTTGTGTGGTGGATGGATTGGATGGATTTTTTCATGGATGGATTGGATGAATTTTGCCTTAATGGATTCAATTGCCACCTCTACTTTAAATACATATAATGCTATAAATGAGTCATCCATTTCATTTTGTCAAAAAATTAGTCTAAAGATGCATATACATAATCACTCCAAAAAAATTACATAGATTATAATCCCTGAAATTACTTTGTGACTTACAAGTGAATCATTTACCCCAAATATTTTCAAAGGTCATTTGAGAGATGCATGTTTGAAATAAGTCCTAAAATCATTTGAAAGTTTTTGCTTTGACAACAAGTGTCCTAAATTTATATTTTTAGGTCATTTATACTAATTATATATCATGCTAACTATACTAATGTAATTCAAACATGTCATACATAAAATCAAATAATAAAAATTCAAACATTAATTTATTAATCGAAAATGCTACCATGATACATAATTTGTTCAAAAAATACAATTGTTACCAAAATACAAATAAAAATAAACTTTTGTCTATATCTAACCCAACATGTTTCCTTTTCCCATGTACTACAAGACATTTAGTGTCTCAACTAAGATGATCTGTACGACGACTTTACTAGAATTGTCTTCCTCAAAATCTCCTTTCTCTATATGGAATCTCTCGCAATCGCCACAATGTGTTGACAGACTGGAAACAGGTCCTGGATGTGGTCATCCCTAACTTGTTTCTATCTTGATATCTCCTGATGAGCTAGTTTAAGTAGTGCTCTCACAACATATGGTGTCATGTAAGGATGTGTCACACGATAGAACAATTGGATGTAGTTGTGAGCAACATCCCATATAACACCAACGGGCACAATGTGTGCAGCATCTGGTACCTAATGATTATATAAATCATAGCCTAATGATTATATAAATCATCGAATATGGCATCAAGGTCTCTGCGGCGGCCTATCGGAGGAGTGGACATTGAGGAAGGTCTTGGAATAATATGAAGAAACTCGAATTTGCGCATGACCCGCTCAAGTAGATGTGGATACATCAAATGTGACCCACAAGCTAACCTCCCATAGTAGAAGGTTATGTCGTCCAAGGATCGCATCTGACATTGACCGTCGTACAAGCATAATCATATGTCATATGCTATAGGGTGGTTAATAAACAACCAGAACGATTCTATCGTTTGATTCCCTCTAAATGGGGAAAAGGCGTAAGCACTTAGCCAATCCCTTGTGTAGTTAATTTCAAGTTTCCATCTAGATATGCAATGAAAGTGAAAGACGATCCACGCCTAAAAATGGTTCAGATGAAATATTAACAACAAATGTTATGAAAATATTGGTAACAATAAAATTGCAAATATATTACCGTAAACAATGTGCAACTTTATGTCATTTGTCTTGTCTATGAAGTATATCAGGTAGACTACGTCAACATATATTACACTTTTGTCCATAAATATTATTGTGTCAACCAAATACATGAAGTATGACCTGAATGCACATTGTCTATGGAAAAAACCTTACTCATCATCACCTCGGCTTTCACTTCTGCAACAACATGGTATTTGTACAGTTCTGCCAAGTATGAAAATCAGGCACGAGCGCCTCTTGTGACATCAAGCTCTATTTGGGCCTCACCTGGGTCAACTCCTAAGTATTTCATAAACACTTTAAGTGCCTTGGGTATGTTGATTCAAAAATGATTTAGTAATATTCACATAATCAGAATATGCATATGGCATCATACATCATTAAAAGTGATGGACACCTCACCATGATGGATGTGGAAAGACGACATCTCCTCGTGCCATATTTCCATAAAATCCACCAACATAATATGGTTGATAGTCTTATAACCAATGGCACATAAACCTGCCAGCCCATAGTAACGAATTACATTTTGAAACTGTATATCTAGGTGTGGCAAAATGGATGGCCCGCCCCGTTTAGACCATCCCCATTTAAGCCTGTCTAAAAGCGGGGCATGGCAGGTCAACTTAAGCGTCAGAGCTCAAAAGTCAAGCCCGCCCCGTTTACTAATGCCCGCCAATTTTTTTTACAATTTAATTTACTACGTGATTTATAAAAATTTTAATCATTACTAAATAGGCCTACAAATTTTAGCAATGCATAGTAAAACTTTAACAAGTCTTAATGTAAATGTCATATTATTCAACATAAACAAACACACTAAAACTTAATACCAAAAACTATAATACCAAAAACTATAATACTAAAAACTTAAAACGAACACACTAAAATCCCAAAAATCAAAACTTTATTAACATAATGAGAAACAAACCCCTCTGTGGAAAACTTACCTTATTGCTTTAGAACCCAATTCCAAAGACAAGGAGTAATAGAAAATAGAAAAGAATGTATTCTCTATGTATTGCAATAAAGACTTTTCCTACTATGAGCGAAAATAAAGAACGAAGCAGAGACCAATTAATTTCTTCAAAATGAGATGTTTGTGGTTATGTGAAAAATAAATATTAGGGTTTAAAGAAATGAGGGTTGTTTTTAAAGTATGTATACTACATACCATGTTAATATTATTTTAATTTCAAGTAAAAATAATAATTTTTTTAAACAAAAAGCCTGTGGGCAAGATCCGCCCCGCCCTGCCCTCGGTCCGTTTTAATAGTGGGTTAGTCGGGGCGGGCCAACTTAAGACACCGAGCCGAAAACCTCGCCCCGGCCCGCCAAAAATGGTGGGTTAAACGGGCGGGCCCAACCCGTTTTGCCACCCCTATATATGTCTTCATTGTGTTCTAGGTTCAAAATCTTTTTAGCATGGTTTACAAATTTTATTGTTTCACGCTCCTATAAGAATAAATATATCAACATCAGTCGCAACTCAATTCGTATGAAACAAATGCAACATAAAAGTAAATAAATATACCTCTCATACCCATACCTTCTCAACAACATGTTCTGTATAGAGATGAAGTAAGGAGGTGCCATAAGGGTCTCCTAGATAACTATCAAGAATAACAAGTTCCTCCCGATGAGGTTCATCTTGAAGGGATTTCTCTTGATCGGGTACCTCCTGATAGGCTTTATAAGCTGGAAGGTCAGTAGGAGATACATACCCACGGGAGGATAAAGTCTGAGACACGCGACCTTGTGAAGTATGATACACGCAACCACATGAAGCTGACGCTTCCGCGTCAAACGAACTAGCACCAACTCATGGCCTATCCCTTCGCATGTTGGGATACACAATTGTGCCTCAATCTGTCCTAGTTTCCAAACATTGTTCCTATAATACAACTAGAAAATCATATCAAAATCAAGACAAGTAAAATTCGGGGATTCATCTCCCTAAAACAAGAAAGGAAAAATCCGGAGATGCATCTCCGTAAAAATGCACCATTGCAGAAAATGCAGAAAATTCCCTATGATTTCCTAAACACCGACAAATATGAATGCATGTCTATACAAGCTACCTATTATGAATGTAACTACAACCTAATGTGTTTTAGATAACCTATTTTGCCTAATACATGCATCACAACTCAAAAATAGAAAGAAAATGAGAAACTTATAGTTGTTGTGCAAAAGCTTGAATGGAGTGAATGGAATATTCTGGGATTGATTACAGTGAGGTAGAGGTAATGTTGAAGTTTGAAAAATTGCGCACTTGAATCTTGTTCACAAGCTCTACTTTGCATTTTCTATCTTAAACTTTTATAATTTTGTTGTATCCATAAAGCACAATGTATACTTGTTTGATAGTAATCATATTGCTTAAATTCACAAGGATGTTTTTTCGAGAGTCATGCTCATTATCATTTGACCGATAAATCCCTTAATTTCAACATTCAAACGGTTAACAATGGTATACTATTCCGTAACGGTTTATTAGGAAATAAAAAGGTAACATTTTACACTTATTAAGAAAGTTTAAATTTTTGTGTCTTTTTTTGAAATATGTTTTTTGAAAAATGTAAAAATAATTTTAGTTGATTGTTTGTTTTAAGAAAAAGTAAAAGAGAAATCAAATTAAATGCATTTTTTAGAAATTTTTTTTTTTGTGTTTAGAAAAAGATGATTTTTTAATTATAATTTATTACAAGAAAAATGAGTATTTTTTTCTTCACATAAATCGTTACGGAGGAGTATGATTCTAACTTTGACTCATCTCATAATTGTATTTTTTGAAACAATAGTAAGATTGTATACAATGATATACCTAAAATAACTTTATAATCTCAATGGACTTTTCATTACTTATATACCATATCTTCCCACTTCAACTTGTTTTTTCTTTTATACACATCATCAAGATCTTTAATGAAGAGCTTAACTTACCATAATAGAAGAAATTGTTTATTCAATTGGAATCATTATAAAACTTTGTAATAGTTAATGAAGACCCAAAATTAGCGGTTTTATAATAAATCTAATCCAGCAAAGTATTTCAAGAAATTGTACTAAATGCTTCATCAAAATTGCAATGAGGGTGACTCGAACAACAATAATGCACATAAAGAAAATATAAATAATAATAAGATAAAAATTCAAGGACTACACTTAGAAATCTTTTGAAACTCAACATGTTCCCATCTTATGAATGCAAGATATCAAGAATCATGATATATCACTCTTATTTGAATTCAATTATAGAAAATAAATTTGAAAAAAACCATAAGCAATTTAGAGGTCCCAGTCTAAAGTACTGTTAGCAATCGCTGCTACAATAACTGGACCAGTCAAATCACCAACAGCACAACCTGAAAAAACACAATAAAATGATCGGTATGTATCAGTTGATAGCTGATAAATTAATTGATAGTTTATGACTGATGACTGATAGTTGACAATTTATAAGATAATCTTACCAATCCACTGACCAACCGAAGGACGACAAATAGCAGCACCAATTCCTCCACCAATAGCTGCAAAAACTAGAGATGCATTACACTTAAGTGTAGCTATCAAAATCTTCTCTTTCAAAATTCTGTTTCTCTCATCTTTGTCGGTGCTACCATCTGACTTTGATGTAAAGAATTGAAATATTCTGACCCCTACTTGAACAATCCATGATGCTGCAACACCAATCGTTTGTCCTATACACAAACATTACAGGCCAGAAATAAAAAAATCAATCAACTTTGTTCTAGTAAATAAAATTATAATAGAATTTTTTTTCTCTTACCTCTAAGAGTTGCTTTGCTCACAGAAAAGATGTACAAATAAGTCGGCATTCCCCGTTCCGCCTTTCGAATAGCCGATGCAGGAACATCTGTTCAAGAGATGCGACTGACGCGTAAGTCGAATGATGAAAAATTGATGTCAGAGAAAATTTGTTTTTATATGTATTAAGGAGAAAATAATGAAGACCTTTAAGAAGTCTCCATGCCATTTTTTTTGAAGCATAATGGAAAGTGAGTCTTTCTAAAATACGTTTAGTTGTGACAACGGTAACCTGTGATGAATTTGTAACAAAAATCAGTTATAATAGACGGACTACTATACATGATTCAAAATCTGTCACTGTTAAACGCAAAGTTCCAAAAGCTTACGACTACTCTTCATATGTCATAAACTAAATAAGTTTTACCTCGCGGACGATTTGCAATAGTGATTTCTTGAAGGGAACAGCCACGAATATATGAAATTCATCATCTGGGTCTTCCAAAAAGTTATCATAATCTTGTTCCATATTTGCATGAGGCTCCAAAGGAGGCAAATAGAACATCAAGAATGACCTCAATGAGATCAGTGCAAATGATCTCAACTCAAAAGCAGACCACAGTGGCTTAAGTTCAAAATTGTAGCCCTTTGGGCTATACTTTAGAGTATCATGGTAGAAATATTTCCCCGGCGAAGTTCGTACGCCGGAAAGGTAATCGTCGGTAACCGCCAGCACTCCAGAGTCAGAAAAAGCTACTGGTGTCCTGAAACTGCAGTTATGTGTTATGATGAGGAATGAGTGATGCAAAAGAGGAATGAAGATGTGTCAGATGTCCGATACAACACTGACACATGTTATTATCGATGTATCATTGTCAGTAATATCATATCTGATGTCTGTGTTTGTGTCAGCGTTTCATATGTTATTATAATCCTTAGATCCGATTTAATATTTCATGAAAACACAATAGTGATTATTAAAATTTTTTTCAATAGCCAAAAGGATGATACATACCCAAAGAAATCATTTGAGGCAAAAGAGGCTCCAACAGACATTGTGGCAGCAGTGGCAGATGCAGAAAAAAGCCATGAAGATGGATAAGAATGTGCCATGTTAAAGCTTTGTTTTTTCCTCCATAGATCTACAAGTAATGTTATTCCCACCATTGTATGTAGAAGAACCTTTTACAAGTTAAAACAACAATTAATCATTAATCAGTGTCACAAAACCAATATCCTCGTACAATAACAAAAGATTGACATAAGTTTCACATGCATTGAATAAATAAGGATACCTTGTTGGGGGATTTGAGACAGAATGGAAAGATGGAAGGAATGAATTGAGAGAGAATGCAGTTAAAAATAAATAAGGAGCAGTTAATTAAGAAATGTTTTGGTATGTAAGTAGGAGAGAATTTTGTTGCGACAATTTGGATCTGTGATCTGTGTCTATTCTCACTGTTAGTTATAAGTGATGGATAAAATAAAAAGTAAAATATTTTTTCTAAAGAAATGAGCTTACAATTTAAAGTTCTATTAAAAGTTAATAAAATAATGGAAAGAAAAAAAAATATGAATAATAATTGTAGATCAAACTTGGATAATATTTGAAAAATTCAACCTAAACAAAATGCATTATCAGATATATTTAAGTTTTTTAAAGGAAAAAGGACTCATTACATCAAAGAAGCAATATATAAAGAGAAGTCTCACAAAACTTAGGAGAACTAATGCTTAATATGAATGCTAAGACTATGAACAATCCTAAAACGCCTATTAACAATATGACAGTTTCCTGTTCAAGGATTAACCTATGCTTATGCTCAATAAGAACACTTGCACGTTTGCATCAAAATTTAAAATTCTGTAAAAAATCAAACATATGTTTCTTGTGAGAAATAAAGATAAAGATGTATTTCTATTCAGGTTATCTCAATTCTTTAGAAATATTTGATTTGTTCAAGGAATTTCTTCTCAAACTCATTTGATACTTCATCATCCTATGATGAGGTTCTAGTTGACCATTTCATTTAGATTAAAAAAACAAATAAATAAAAGAGAAAATGATATTTTTATTAAATTATCTTTTATCCAATATTAAGAATGATGAAAGTAATGTTAATTAGATGGTCGAATTGGAAAAATGCATTGGAAATTAAAATGGGTCATTCATTGCGACACTTTTTTTATTTTAAATGGGTCACTTATTATGTAACGGAGAGAGTAATATATCTTTGAGTAGTTGAGTATCAATCAAATTATCACATGTAACAATAATGTTATCAACATAAACAAGAAGCATAAGTAATCTTTCTCCTCATGTATGTTTGAAGAATAAAGTGAGATCTCCTTAGACATGACAACAAAATCCATATTCGTGAATACCTGCCCAAACCTGCTCCATGTTTGACGGGGAAAACTCGGTTTAATTAGATTCAGGTTTAGGTTTTCTCCGATCTTAAAAGACGGGGATGAGACAAATAATGGGGACACTGGTACTCATCTCCAACTAGTCCCGTTGAAAATTTATAATATTTATAATATTAATTATTTGGTTAATACATTAATATGACAAAGGATATGACATCTCTCCCATAACACCTCCCTGGTGCCCGTTATCTAGATCGAGCGCCCATCTAATGGATTAGACACCATTTCCTTGAATATGTTACTCACATCCTTAACAACTCGCCAAAAGTGTGCGAACGTGATAGGTGACATGTTCTTGGTCCACGAAGGTGTGGAAGAAGTAAGGGAAAAATTACCCACACTCTCCAAATTAATAGAGGATTAGTTTCCCTATTCTCCCACTACTGGAAAATAGTTGTTACTTCTTGGGAATCTAAGATGCAATCCTAAGACTTTCTATAAATACCTAAACCTTAAGGGTGAGAGGACAATATGATATTCACATAAGTACTAGATACACTGAGCTTCTCGCCTCCTTATGTGAGCAAGCTCTAAACCCTATAACAAATCCTAAAAGTCTATAACAGTTCTTAATAGCTAGAAATTTTCACATATTGTACTTTAAGTAAGTACAATTGGCGCTCACCGCGAGCCCTGGTACAACTGACCTAGCCACACTCAACGTTACTCATATTTACTTTCACCATCTTCTCACGAGTATGTTTAATCAAATCTCCAAGATCGATGCCAACACTATCATTGGGGGTTTCGTCAGTGAGGGAGAACCTAGTTCCTTCTAAATAAAATACACTCGACAATTTTTAAAACCTAGCATCGTACTTGCTGACACTGCCAAAATCATGAGAGATGCTTGCTGACAATTTTTAAAACCTAGCATCGTACTTGCTGACACAACCTTTGGGCGAGGGACTCGTTGAAGTGTCCGATCCTCAAACCATTATGGAATAACCCTACAAACATCTCTTAATTTGGATGTATGAATTTGATGGCCGCCTCGTTAAAACGTGTGAGATGCTTCCTCAACGACTCAAAGGATCCCTAGAGAGATGTGGTAGGTTCATGTACCATATTAGCGCAACATCCTTAAAAGGGCTAGAGATTAGCTCACACTTCAAGGAGTCGTTGGCACCGTGATAGCCATCTCGGTGTTGATGGAGGATACATGCTCCTAAGGATCACTCCTTCTGTCAAACTTTATTGGTGATGGGGGTTAAATTTTCTGGCACGCCCTCTCCCTTCAAATTTCATCGAAAATAGGATGGTGGACCAGGATTTTGATTTCCTCAGACAGATCGACCTCCCGCTCGAGATTATAGAGGTAACAAAGTTTTCCTTCAAAGCTTGATTTTGGCGGAGCAACTCTTTCATAGCACCTTGCATTTCTACTATGGCTCATTGATCATTGTCTCAACTGCTTCCGATTAACATGGTGTCTCATGTTTGTACCATCTTAAGGTTTGTGGTCGAGGTGGTTTCTGAAGTAAATATTGGTTGTGGCATATGTTAGTTTTAATTGGGTCCCACCCTGGACGCTAATCATACTTGCTAAAAGTACAATAGAGAGAAAATAGGGATTTTTTTCCTGGTGACAACGAAAACACTATATCTTTCTCGCTGAAATTTGTGGGTGGATGTAATCTTAGAGGTTTATGGTATTTATAGAGACCCATGAGATTAGTTAAGAACACATTCTATAAATCTATTATCAAGAGAGAGCTCTTTCTCCCTAACAGGCTTTACCCAAAACATATTTTGTCATGGCCTATTTCTTATTCAGACCCAAATAAATTATCTCATTCGTGTTGTAAAAAAATATGAAAAATAAACTTAGATGTATAAAGGAGAATGATTGAGACATTTGTGTCAAAGTCAAATTTATGAAACAGATGAAGAATCAAACTTGTGACAAAAAAAAGCAATACATTAGGACCATCTAAATCTTTAGAAAAATAGTATAATCTTTATTTTTCTTTAGCAATTCCAATCGCCCCTCGTGTGGTAAAATCCTGAAAAACACAATGGTGAGTAAAATAATGTTACTTTACAATTCTGATGACACGTATGCTTATCAATGGAAATTAAGTTGTTGAAAAGTGTAACAACATTAAACACTCATTATCTTGATTGAACTTGTAATTCAATATTTCCCACGGCAACAACACAGACATGAAATCCTTCGACAATAGTGACACAAAGAATACTCAAAAGTGAAGTTTAAAAGGATAATAATTTAGAATTAATTATCATATGATCAGTAACACTAGAGTAAAAAAAAATCTAATCATTCTTAAAAATAGCACACTTGACTTGGAAGAAAGATAGAAGAAAAAAAAAAAGAACTTCATAAAAAAGAAACAAGCATCACATTTTATAGCTAGGTGCTAAATATCTTCATCAAGTTTCATGACCTTGAGAAGCTCCATCTCCTCTTTAAACTTATCCATTGAAGCTTTTGGAAGTGACACAAAGATCCTAACTCCACCTTTCATTGAAGGATCCAAATTATTTGGAGGCAAAAAGAGACACAAATCCACAAAACCAAACATGTTCCAAGGAACAGGCACAATATTAACTGAACCCTTCCATCCAAAATCAACTTCTTGCAACAAACCAAGTTGTCTCCAATCAGTCAAAACCAATGATGCACCTGTTCCTTCAATCTTAACCTTCCTTCTCCTCATTATCTCCAACATGTTAATTGAACTTCTTATATGTTCTTCATTCATTGAGACCTTTTTACTCTCTTTGATAAGCTTCACAGTTTCAACAAGTGGTTTTTCATTAAGCTCTTTCACTTTTAACACCACATTTGAAGCTACAAATGCATTACCATAATACCCTTCATGCAAAGGTGGGTCCATTAAGTGTCTCACACCTACTGCTAAACAAAACAAAGTTCTTCCATCATTGTTCAGTTTCAAAGCTCTTACTTTTGATCTCCAAACATATGCACCAAGTGCTTCAACTGTTGTGATTGTGAAACTTTCCTTCATCACATTATCACTATCAACTTTCTTAATTAGTTTCATTTTGAGCCTTTTTATGGTTTCACTATTCAAGTTAAAACATTCATGTGAGATTTCTTTGGTTGGTAAAAAAGGTGAAGTTGCTAATGAAGTTTCATCTATAAGAAACTTGAATGGTTCTTCCTTAAAAGTAGTTTTTTTCACTGTTAATCTCTCTCTTTCCCAAACAGGTTTCACCGAAGGTTCATTTTTTCCACTTGCAAATTCTAAAAGTGCTCTATAGAATTTTGATGCACCAAAACCATCACAAACACTATGTGACAATCCCATACCTATTGTGAAACCACCACAAAGAAACTTTGTAACTTTGAAAACCAAAGGGTAAGGACTAGTTTGATCTTGTGAAGGGTTATCAAACACTAATTTTTGAGCTCTTGGAACATCAATGCCTTCAAGATAGTTAAGGGAAGAGAGTTCACAGTTTGCATTTGCTTCTAAGAAAGGAACTCCATCACCATTGCAGTTGATTCCAAGTTTTTCATCATCAATAGTTGTTATTTTTCCTGCAAGAGGGTAATAGTAAACCAAAGCTTTTGAGAGTGCTTCTTTTATGAGAGAAGCAGGGTCTTTTTGGTCATTTGGGAAATCATGATTTGCTTTGTAGACATATATGGTTTGACAAAGAATGTTGATGTTAGGATCATTGTCAATAGTGGACAGTGAAAGAATTTCAGAAGGTGTGAGTTTGGAGGGTTTAACCATGATAACATC